AAGCGGTCACTCAAGAGTCAAAAACCCGGAAAAAAAACAAAGATCTTTTAAAAATTGAGAGACGTTCAAGTGGTCCCTCAAGGGTCAAAGAGTCAAAAAAAAAAATCCAAGTGGTCACTCAAGGGACAAAATCCTGGAAAAATCAAAAAAAGCTGTTAAAAAATTGTGAAACGTCCGAGTGGTCACTGAAGAGTCAAAGAATCAAAAAAATCCAAGTGGTCATTTAAGGGTCCAGGAGCCGAAAAATAACTCTAAATTACTTAAGGAGTCACTTTGAAATTTCCGTGTTCTCAACTTTTTTCCATTGTGATGAGAACTTACTAACAGGTTTGAAGAGGCTCTTCTAGGGTTTTGAAATGAAAAAATGACCTTAAAAGCCTCCAGAGAGGTCACTTAGGTGAATAAACTGCGAGAGTCTTCCAAGTGGCCACTCAAGGGTCTAGGAGCCAAAAAATCGCGAAAATCCAAGTAATCACTCAAGGGTCAAAAACTCGAGAAAATAACAAAAACCTCTTAACGACTTACTTTCGATCTAAAATCGTCTCTTCAATCTTTCTCTAATTTCTTTTTGACAAAAAAAATTTGAAGAGGTCACCTTAGGGTTTAGAAATTCAAAAATTATCCTCCAGTGCTCACTTAGGTGAAAAAATTGAAGAAAACTGAAAAAAAAGGGTTTTTTGTCGGGGAATGACTGCAAATATAGTTTTTTTCAAATTTGAAATCAAAAGGGCGAATTTATTTTTTGTAGTGAGCTAGGTACACTGAAATGGAAAAATCTGCAGAAAAATCTATATAAATCAAAAAATTCTGTCCAAAAGACTACCCGAAAAAAAAGAAAAAAACCACTCAAGGGGTCACTTTACAGTTTCGATCTCTCTCCAAACTTTGAGATTTCGAAAATTTTTGAATTTCTCTCAGCAAACAAGCTGAGAATGCCCTATTCTCTTTCCCTAGAAGGACAAACTTTGGATGAATCGGTTCGAAAATGAATGGCGGGTTTTCCCACAATTGTCTTACACAAAGAGACAACGTAACGGCCCCAAAAGTTTTACACCAACGTTCTCAGACGTAAAATCTCCCCTTTTTGTCGATTTGAATCGTTTTTGGGATTCAAATTGTGAAGGGATTTGGGTAAATGAATCGAAAAAAAAATTTTGAAAAAATTAGATAGGTTTACTGTTTCAGAAATTTAATATATGTTAATCATGGTAGGCTTTTCCTAGATGCTCATCACAGATAGTTATCATGAAGTGGCCACTTAAGGATCGGAAACCCGGAAAAAAATGACAATGATCTTTTTAAAAAAACATGAAATTCGCCTATTTTTTTACAAAAATCAGAAGGTTTTTTTCTAACTCTTTTCCCTTCATAAAAAAATTTTTGAAAAAAATCATATCAACAATAAATTTTTTTTCAAAACAAGTTCAGAAAGAATTGAATGAATTTGTTTTCAATAATAACATTTTCAACAAAAAAATTGAGTCCACTTGAAATTTTTTTCCAAAAAAACACCGAAAAAATTTCAAATCAAGATCACATTACTGTTTCAACAAAAATTTTTTTGTTTCGAAAAAAATTGATTTTTTTAATTGTTAGTTATTTGGAATAATATACAGTAGAATGAAAAAAATTGGATACATATTTTTTCTGCATCGGCTACTTGAAACTCTGAAGCCTCGGAAAAAAACTCAGGAAAAAGCCAAAAAAATATTTCGAATCAAGAATACATTACTGTTTCAAAAACAACTTTTTTTCGATAAAATTGATTTTTTTTATTGTTATTTACTCAGAATAAAAATACAGTGAAACAAAAACAGGAAAAAAATATTTTTTTCTGCATCGGCTACTTGAAACTCTGAAGCCTTGGAAAAAAACTCAAAAAAAGCCAAAAAAAGAAGTCGAATAAAAGACATTACTGCATCGGAATTGGCATTTGTGGAGCAAAGACATTGGTTTTAAAGCCGCTAATAAGCCGATTAACGTGTCTTTAGATAATGAGGGAGCGGCGAAATGTTCACACTTCGCCTCAACTACTAATAATATTTATTGGCGCTTTGAAACAGGAAATCAGAATATGAAGCCAAAAAAAAAAAATGGAAAAAGTGAGTTCCTCTTGTAAAATGAGTTCAGATTGAAAATAAAAAAAGATACTTCAGCTAAAATCTGTAAAATGCGAACTTTTTTTCAAATTACATTTTGATCATACTATTACAAGGTGATTGGCTTTTTGCTAACTTCAAAAACGGTAAAGTGATAAATTTCAAGTTTGAGCTGCGTTGCGGTTGCGTCGCGGTTCAATTAACTCATTTTCAGTTTCAACCAATGATCTTGACAAAAAAGGGAGTGGGGGAATATTAGAAGAATATGACGAACTTAAGATTGGGATCACATAATCGAAAAAGTCGGATGCGTTGCGGCTGCGTTGCGGTTGCGTCGCGGCTTCATATTCATTTTCCACTTTTTTGTAAAAAAAAAATCTGGAAAATCTGAGCTCGAAAAAAGAACAAGGGGCAGTGAGAAGAATAAAAGAACATGACCGCCTTAAAATTAGGATCACATGAATGGAAAAGTCGGATGCGTCGCTGTTGCGTTGCGGTTGCGTCGCGGCTCAAGAAGATTATTTTTCTTTCGCTTCATTTTTGAGCTCTTGAAGAGAAGAAGGACAAGGAGATTGGAAAAAAAGGAAAGAACTTAACGGCCTTTCAACAGGGATCACATGAATGGAAAAGTCGGATGCGTTGCGGGTGCGTTGTGGTCGCGTTGCGGTCGCGTCGCGGCTCCTACATTCATTTTCTACATTTCATATGAAAAAGTCAGCAAAATCTGAGCTCGAAAAAAGGACAAGAGACAGGGAGAAAAATAAAAGAACATGACAGCCTTACAACTGCGATTAATTCAACTGTGAGATGGGGTGCGATGCGGTTGCGTTGCGGTCGCGTCGCGGTCCCTTCATTCATTTACAACATTTTTGTGAAAAAATCTGCAAAAAGTGGTCTCAAAAGAGAACAAGAGGCAGGGAGAAGAATAAAAGTACATGACTGCCTTACAACTGGGATCATTATAAATTGAAGATCGGGTGCGTTGCGGTCGCGTCGCGGCTTCATTATTTATTTTCTACATTTTTGACAAAAAATCTGAAAAATCTGAGCTCGAAAAAGAGAACAAGAGTCAGGGAGAAGAATAAAAGAACATGACGGTCTTAAAATCGGGATCATTTAACTGCGTTGCGGTCGCGTGCGGCTCACTAAGATTATTTTTCTTTCGCTTCGATTTCAAGCTCTTGAAGAGAAAATGGGCCAGAAGATCGGAAAAACGAATAAAAGAACATAACGGCCAGGGATCACATGAATGAAAAATCGAATGCTTCGCGTTGCGTTTGCGTTGCGGTTGCGTCGCGGCTTCAATATTCATTTTCCACTTTTTTTGTGAAAAAATCTGGAAAATCTGAGCTCGAAAAAAGAACAAGAGGCAGGGAGAAGAATAAAAGAACATGACGGCCTTTCAACTCCTCCCCTCGCCATTCTCCAGGCCGAGGACCCATTGGTTTGGTGCAACTGAAATGACTGACAGATGCATCAATTACACATCGTCTTGGGCAAGCAAACGGACACATATAACATCATCGGTTGTCGTTTCACTGCACCCAGAGACGAGAGAAGGCCTCCCCCCGCATAATCGTCCTCGCACGTCTTTAATGTGCGGACGATTCTGCCAGAGAGCAATTTTAATCAAGTGTTATGATTGGTTTCTGTGGAGGCCTAGAAATTGTATAAGGTTTTTTAAGGTCTTTTTAAGCATTTTAAGGATTTTAAGGACCAATTATATAACAGATTAAAAAGATTTTCAAGGACCTAAACATTTTAAATCTGCCTTTAAATCGAGGTCAAATTGTTATAATATATAAAAGTTGGCATTTTTCAAAAAAATAAATTTGCTAAAAATTAGTAAAATTACAACTCAACTTTGCTGAAAAAAATTCACATTAAAAATTCGAATAAAAAAATATGGTTCAGCGTAACTTCACTGTTTCAAGCAGAACATAAAAAAAGAACTTAACAATTTTTTTCAAGAATCTTGTCGAAGTTAGATTTATTCGATCAAATTTTTCTTTTTTTGTTTCAAATTTCAAATTTGAACATCAAACCAGAAAAAAACAATTGTTTAAGAACCTTAAAATGGCAAAAAAATCCAAAAATTTTTCACAAACAAAAATAAAAAAACCGCAAAAAAATCAGGGAAGTCGAAATTCGAAGCGAGGAATTATTTTAAAAAAATTTTTCAAAAAGTATTATGGTCAAATTTCATTTTAACGTAACTGTACTGTTTCATAGAGAAAATGAATAAACTAAAGAAAATTTTCGAGGTTTGAGCTTCAAAAGGTTCCGTAGTAATAAATTCAAACAAGATCAGGAAAAAAGGCTGTCGGAGGAGGAGAATGTGGATAATTGTCTGGAGGCCAAAATTAGCCCATTTAAGAATCGGACATTGAAGAAAAAATGAAGCTCAGTGCAATTTCAAAAAGTCACATCAAAATTTAATTACAGCGTAACTTCCCTGTTTCATAGAAAAAATGAATAAACTAAAAACCATGTTCGAGGTTTCCTCTTCAAAACTTTCCAAAGTGATAAATTCAAACAAGATCAGGAAAAAGGCTGTCGGAGGAGGAGAGAATGGATAGTCAGTTGAAAAAATCATTCTGAAAATGTGAAAAAAGGACAACATTCCTTCCAGCTTGTTAGACTGTTTCATAACAAGAAATTAAAAATGGGAACTTTTTCCAGGTCTTTTCGGCCCTGCAAACTGATTCAAAAGGGATAAAGTCCGAATAAAAGCAGCAAAAAAGCTGGAAAAAAAGAACAGAAGAAAAGGAGCAGCTCGCGGAGAAATTAGATAATTGGCTCGAGGAGCCTCGGCCAAAATAAGCCCAATGTCAGAATCGGCCTTCTTGGGAAGGAGTGCGCGGCCATCGTGTTTGCCTAATGAAGGGAAGGAAGCGTAAGATGATCGGCAAAGGGTCTCCCAGTGGGAAATTGACCGCCACAAAAGCGTCGGCCAGACACAATTCAGACCATATGTTGAGTGTGGCTTGCAGTTTTGTTTGTTTTCGTTTCCGACCGCGACGCGTGGATGGGAAGGGGCGGCGCGGTTCGAATGACGTCATAGAGCAGAAAAGTTGTAGGAATTGGGCGAAAAACTACGGTTTTTGTTCAATGACGTCTCATTGATTTTTAAAAGGACGTCATCGTTTTAAAGGCTCAAAAAATTTAGATGACGTCATTGATAGGAGTATCAACCTTCTATGACCTCAAATTTCAATGGATTTCTTGACCTGAACTATTTGGGCAGTACTTTTTTGAATAATATCCGGTCATTGCCAAATTTTTGGCCCTTCTTTTTTATGAATGACGCTTAATTAAGGAATATCTTTCGCTGTCACTCTCAAGGTTCTCAATATAGCTGATTCACAACTCGCTTGGGACTCTAAGGAGGCGTGTGCTGTCTGCGCTCTCCACGAACCAGGCGCTATCTCGTGCATTTTCGTGTCAGGATCCATATTTCGATGGCTCAAGCCAGTCGTGAATCAGCTATATCTTGAGCCCAAAGTACTGAAGCAGTACTCTTTTTTGATTCTTATTCATTTCTTTTTGACCCCACTGGGGGTCTGGGCCGTGCCCTGCAGCAGTGCAACGCTGGGACGACCCTTGAGCGGTCGGAGCAAGCTCCGGATCCACTCTCGGTTGCAAAAATAAGTTAACCTATATTGTACTCATTCGAGCACATACCGTAGGTTAATACGATAAGAACAGATAGGTGAGCCAGCTGCGATAGAGGTACTGTGAGCATCCGCTCAGCCCTCCTTCGCCAGGGGAAGATGATTTGTGAGTAAGCCTTAGTTCCTGGTCCTCACTCGGACCGCCGAATAAACGGGTCGGACTAGGTTGCTTCGGAGGTAATAGCTACACCTAAGGTTTTGTGTCTTGCCGTAGTCACTGGTTGTTGTGGCTACAAACAAGACCCTTGGCGTAACCTGCCCCCTCAGCCCCACTTCTCCTTCATCCACATAGCTAAGCTGGATTCCTCCGTCACGGCCGAAAGCGTTGGCGCTGGAACGCCTTACTCCCGGCCAGAGTTGCCCACCCAGAACATTGCTGTTCTCATTTTAGCCGCTGCGCGACTCATGTCCGTTCTCCCTTTTTCGGGACGCCTGTCGGCTGATGCCTACGGTAAGGACCTTTCTGGCAAGGATGTTGGCTGACAACATCAAAAACCAGTAAGTCTTTAACGTTCCTTAAAAAGCCTTCATGGGCTTGTCCATAATTGGACTCAGGTTTAAAAGGACCCGCCGTGGGTCCGAGTTCCGAGGAACTCTTCCAAAAATAACCTTTGCAGGTTTGAGCCTTGAAGGCAACAAGAAGCAAAACAAGAAAAATAATACAAGAATGTGTTTATTTAGGCCTTTTAATTCGCCCTTTTGGGAGAAGGTTGGGATGAGGAGGATGAATGTCGCCTTTTTTTTGCAGGGGACTTGGCCAGTGATCTAATTTTTGAGATGTAACTTTCAGTGGTTAGAGGTTGAAGGTGGCGGTTTTTCAAAACTTCGTAGATTTTTTGCCAAAATTTGGAGGTTGTTAGTAGAAGTGTTACTGGTATTTTGGCTTTGGAGGCCAGTGCCTTTACGGTCTCCGGGGTGGCTGTTTTGTCATAGACAAAGAGGGCTTGGAATTTGTCTGGGATTTCTGTGGCGAGAGCGTCGATGTACGGTGTTGTGCCTATCGCTACTATTTCGAAGGCTGTTGAGAATTCATCCCTTTCTGGGATGTCCTTCCTCATGAGACGGTAGAGATTGGAAAAACTCGTTATGGCTGGTAGTTGTATGTTAGATCTTAGCCAATAGGCCGAGAAGCGATACTGAACGAAGGAAACGAGTCCTTCTTACGTTGCTGCGTGTCCCGACGCCAACCGACTCGCTCGTTTTGGCGAGAACGGCGATTTTGGGATGAGGGTGAGGCGAGCAGACGGCGGCGTGCCGTTCACATTCCTCCCTCATTTTTTAAGGTGGAAAAATGATTTTCATTTGCTGTTTCTTTCTTTTTTTTTTCTTTTTTGAACTCTTGATTATTAGAAAATGAGTGAATTTTTGAAAATTTGAAGTTTTAATGTATTTTAGGCATTCATATGGATCGGAAGGTTTGTGATTTCTTACATTTTTTTATATTTCTTCTTTTTTCTAATTCAATGTTTACTCCTAACGATTCAAAGATATATAAATGTCAAATTGATATAATTTTTTTCAAGTTTCAGACTTTGAGGCTAAGCGAAAAAAACATTTTTAAAAAAATATGAAATTAAAAGAATGAAAGAAATTTTTGGAAAAATAAATTTTTGTAACTTTTTTTCCTATTTATTTTTTTCTTCTATTCTCTTTTTGATTAAATTTTTAAATTGTAAAATAAAGAAAAAAATAGATGAAAGAAGAAAAAAATTGAAAAAAATTGCCAAAAAAACTTGAAGTAGGGACCAAAACCGATCGAAAAAAATGTGTAATATGAAAAAAACCGAATTTTTTTAAGATAAGAAGAGAGAAAGGAGGCAAATTAATGAGATGTCGGCGAATTTCCAAAGAGGTGTCGGTTTGACAGAACGACTGTGAGAAATCCGTCAAGGCCACTGGAAGGTTTTTTTATTCTTCGTCTTTTTTTTCTTCAATTTTAACAATCATCACATCTTGCAATGAAAAAAACCTAGGGAACATCTAATTCAAATTTTATTTTATTTTTTTGAATGAAAATATTTTTGGAAGTTTATTTTCGTACGCTTGAAGTTTGAAGAAAAAAATTCTCTTGTAAATAAATTAAGCTTTGAATTTCGCCTGTATTTTTTTCATTATGATTGTATTACTCTTTGTGCTCATTTCAAATTCTTTTTAGTATAATTATTATTCTTGCCAGTGATTGAAAAGAGGTTTTTTTGAAACGAAAAGAAGTAAATTTTGTATAATTTTTCACATTTCCCTATGTATTTATTTCTTTTTTTTCTTGTCAAATTGCGATGAAATTAATAATTTTTTTACAGTTTACCTGTTATTTTTATTTAACGCGATTTCCAATATTCACCTGTAATTTTTTTCAAATTTATTTTTTTCCATTTCGTGAATATAAATATATTGAAATATACCATCTTTAAGACTTTCGAATCACTAATAAAGTATCAAGTTTCAAATTTTTTTAAGCGTCTTAAAATTCTCTCGTACTTTTTTTCGTTTCAAAATGCCTTTCATATGGATATCTGGTTTTTTTAGGATCAGAAATTAATAAATAATTGAAAAAAATTCGGAAAAGATGAATGAATTGTTGGGAAATGTGCCGTCGAGGTTTCTCGTGGGAGGCTCTGGAAATGAAATTTTACAAAGTTTGAGACAATTGTAGAACAATATAAACTTTTTTTTCATTGAAATAAACTCCCAAGTTTTTCTTTAAATTTCTGTGATGTGAAAGGCTCTTTCAATGCGAATTTCGGTTACCAAATCAAAAAAAAAAATTTCTTCTGGTTTTAACTGAAATTGATGTTTCAGTTTTTCCTCAAACTCATTAAAGTTATGATTTAATGTTAGAGATGACGATTTTCTTTTTCACGAATATATAAAACTCGATTTCATGTTTTTTTCTTTAGATCTGTTTCACGTTGGATTTTTGAGCCTGAATTCATTTTTTTCACCGCCTATAAAATGCGACATCTTTTTTTGTGCTCCTCTGTTAATTAATAAATTACGGCCGTTTCTTAATTTTAGCTCTTTTACTTTTTTCCGGTACTTTCTTTCAAAATTTGTATTTTTCATTATCTTTCCTTTTGAAAAAAAAAGATAAAAAGTACTTCATTACGACAAATTTTTCTTTGAATGCTCAAAAAATTTTGAAAAACTATTTTATACAGTTCATGAATCTGTATTGAACCGGAAATCAGAGGAAAAAAAAAAATTAAATATGAGAAAAACGAATTTTAAGTCGAAAATGAAAAAGAGGCAATACTATACTGATCACAAAGGTATCGCAAAAAATTAAAATTTCGTATCATTTTAAAGAATAATTAAAAATTCAATAAACGCCCGTGTTTTATTGATTTTCAATGGAGCACCACAAAAAGCGGTCGCATTTTTTAAATGCCCGTACTTTATAGCCGTAACCCTATATCGACGCATTAGCAAAAAAATTTTCGATTTTATGAATAAATATGACTCCTTGGAAATAGTAAAACGAGGTAGGATATTAATTAAGTTCAAAACTGCAAAAAAAGAAAAAACGTCCATTCATGAAATTTTCGTCTGAATATTTTAAAGGCACGGGGTGTGACCCGATCTTTAATTTTTTTGGCTTTGATACCGCATTTCTTAAAGTTACAAACAATTAAAAATATTAATCAAAGTGAAAAAAAGTAAAAAAATTCAACAAAAATCGTTCATCACTTCTTTCAAAAATTTTTCAACTAAAAAAACGCGTGTCAAGTTCCTGATAGCAATAACCCTTCCCCCTCCCCGCTAAAAATAGAGAGGCTCAAAAAAGGCCATAGAACGGCAGCAAAAAGGTTCCTTTATCAAACCTTCTATTTTTTTCGCTTATAAATAAGAAAAAAATCGAAAAAAACAATAAATCAATAAAATAGTGAAGGTACAAGTTCTCCCCCTTGTTTTGCAAAAAAATCACAAAAACTATAAAAAAAGCAAGAAAAATCTGAGTCAAAAAGGTCCGACCTCAGGCAGGCGTTTGGTCAAAAAAAGTGTGACGGACGGCGCGCGCAAGAGGGGGAAAAAAAGAAGGATCATTTCGGATCGTTTCGATCTGTTCCTTCTCCTCCGCTAATTGCCCATGAGGAAGGATCTTTGTCGATGTTCTGAGGTCGGCCGAGGAGAGGATGATGAATCGTTTAGATTCTCGGAGGGGAATGGATGAGGTCAGCCGCGTTGCTGAGAAGTGAGATTAACAAGGAAAATAAGGGGAACGTACATTTTTAAGATAAAAATGTCTTTGAGGTTCAGCATATGGCTTAGCTTCTCAGGCAGGAATGGTTTTAGTCGCGTCGCAGGAAAGTTCCGTGATCTGCCCCCCAATTTTTTTGATAAAACTTCACTGAAACGTACTTCAAAGCCTCTAGATTCAAGAACAAGAAAAAAATTTCTCGCACTTGGTCTCATTTTCGAGTTAAGAGGCTTCGAACGCTTGAAAATACGCTTTTTTTGATAAATTGGCGTATTCGCATACTTTGAAGCTTCATAACTCGAAAACCAGATTCATTGTGTGAAATTTTTTTCTTGTTCTGCAATCTGGAGGCCCTAAAGAACAATTCAGCATAGTTTCATGAAAAAGTTCAACCGGGGGATAAAAAAATCGTCCTTCGTGAGAGCTGAGATCAAGAAGAAAAAAATTGAGAAGACTATTAGATTTAGCATATGGCTTAGATGCTCAGGCAGGAATGGTTCCAGCCGCGTCGCGGATAATTTTCGTGACTCGGCTCAAGCCCCAGTAATCCAACTATAATAAAAACTTCTTGCTACTGGAAGAAAAGTCGCAAAAAATAAATTTTTAAGATTCTCATATGGAAATGGATGACGACAGCCGAGTCGCAGCCATATTTTGCGACTCGGCTAAGCGGTGACGTTATAAAAAATAAATTTAGAATGTGTATAACTGTGAGAATTCTTGGCTAGAAGGTTCATGGAAAGTTGAAAATCTTGGGATTTATGAAATTTGGTCTGGAATGTATCTGAACTGGAGCTTCAACTTGAAATTTGAAAGACCTGAAAATGGAAAAAAAAAGTCTATTTTTATGGCAAATTTTCCTCCAAAATGTGAACAAAAAGGCCGAGAAGAAAGGCTAGCGTGTCCTCGAACGACTTCATCGACACGAGGGTTGAAATCGGCCCATTCTCAGCGGGAGGCCGAAATCAAACCCCCGACAAAAACGAGGTTTTGCTCTTAGTTTTCGACAGAAACGAGGCGAAACGGTTCAAAATACGTTTTGTGGAGTAATAGTTCGTTTAATGCTACTTTCTCTTCAGAAAGGAGCGAAATCACTGTTATTATCCTGCAAGGAATTAAATTCCCTCTGCGGTTGGGAATCTCCCAAAAAATACCCAGAACACTCCTGATGTACCAAAAGAAGAATCTGATAGTCCCAATTTGTGAAGCTTTCTGGTTTTTGAGAAAGGACACCTCAAAGAAAACTCTCATAATTTGTTAAAATAGCCGATTTTCAGGCTTTAGGCCCTTATTTCTCGAAAATTTGCAAGCTGAGCAGGTTGAGACTTTTAGAATTTACTTTGCGTTGATTAAGAAATGTTCTGGCCTTCATTCAAACTCAAAATCAAAAAGACCTTCATGTTAAAAATTACCACCTTGCAGTGGTTAAGCGTCGAGCCATTCTAAACGCGACTCGAAAATTTAAATCTCCAGCTTCCTAAAGGCGTACACTAAAAATTTCATTTTGAAAAAATTCATTAAATAATGTTTTAAAAATGGTAAAGTCAACTAAAAAAAGACTCAAAAAAATTTATTTTTTCTGTTGAAAATTTCGTTCGCGTTTAATGAAAAAAAAATAATTTTTTTATTCATTAATTTAAACGAGTAGTAATAGCCAAAGCGACTTTGAAATTCAGTTTTTTTGGGATGTCTCACGGCGCTGAAGCTCTATTCCGATATTGCAATTGCTTTCATATCCTCTCAAAAATAGTGATGTCAGTTAAATCTAGAATTTCGATATCAACTAATTTTAAAACTTGGAGAAAAGTTTTTCGGGTGGAAAACGTTTCTGGAAATACAGTCCAAATAGTTCTTTCTAGCTCGATTGACAAGAAAATATATGATATTTTGAGGGCAAATTTCAAATAAGAAAGGGATACAGATTCCTCTCCTGAAGCTAGAAAATTAGTAGAGAACAAAAAAATAATTCGAAAAATTTCACAGAAATAAATGGTAGCCGAGTCGCAATGAGACACGTCTGCGACCCGGCTAAATTTTTTTATGTCGTCAAAAAAAGTAGAGTGGAGAAATTTGAAATTTAACAAGAAAAAAACTAACACAATTTTTTTCGGTAGCCGAACCCCAGGAAATGGTGTCTGCGATTCGATCAGAATTACTATAACGTCATTTTTATAAAAATTATTCAACAAAAAAATTGATAGCTGAGTAGCGATGGTTGGTTTCTGCGGCCTGGCTAAAGAAATCATGACGTCATTTTCCCAGGAAAACTGAATTAGAAAGACGAAATTTGATCAATAAGCTAGAAACTATAGTCAATGTTTCCCGACTTGAAAGGCGAGGGAGGCGTGGCGGGGGGCGGGACGCGTAGCGTGTGCGTTCGCGGTCCTTGGCACGTGTTCAATTCAACCACCCTCGACTCTTTAAAAAAATCCCGTTTTTTTCGCTCTTTTTCATTCCTTTTTTTCAATTATTTATTGATTATGTTCATGTATTCATTAAAAAAATAGTAGAAAAACATTGAAAAAAATATCGGTTGCCGAGCTTTTTTTGAATAGTCGGAGGCAATTTAATTGAACTCGTGCCAAGAACCGCGAACGCACACGCTACGCGTCCCGCCCCTTGCCCCGCCTCCCTCGCCTTTCAAGTCGGGAAACATTGACTATACAAGAGAAAAAAAATCGGCAATTTCCGATAGGTGAGTCACAAGAGGCTTCCAGCGATTCGGCTAAAATGTTCATGACGTCAATTTTTCCTAGTAAAAATAACTGAAAGAGATAGAGAATGGAAGTTCTTCCCAGAAATGACCTTAAAAGTGCGGTCACTTCACAAAACTACTAAAATAAAAATAGCCGGCCCCTTACCACGGTGATAAATGATAAGAGAAGTTTAATGGTGCGAAAACGATGATAAAAATGTTAAGAAGATTGGGGCGAAAGGGTTCTTTAGGGGGTTTTAAAAAGGAGCCGTCTGTTCTAACTGGTGAAAATAAATGTGATTGCGTTACATTATATATAATGCCATGATAAGAAACGATGAAAATCTAAAAAAAAAAACCAAAATTTTTTATACCTGCTTTCTCAAAGAAAAGTCATCTAACTTGATGAACTTTTGTTACAAACGACGCAGAGAAACAGATTCTGAAGACTTTGAACAGAAAAAAATTTCCAAAGGGGGTATCTTTTTCTTAGTGATATTATAATCTTATATTTTTTTCCCAGTCTAAAATTTGAAAAACAAAAAGTCAATTCTCATTTTTTTAAAGAAGAAAGAAAAATTCCAAGGTGAAATATATCTACACACGAGAGGAACGCGTCGTTTTGTCTTCCAATTTTTTTTTCTTCTTTTGACGGATGAATAATCGTGGGTAGCAAAAGGCGACGGCCATCACAGGTCGCCCGTAAAATGCCACGGAGGAGGAAAAAAAAGTCCGAGTGGAAAGGTCGTCGGCCAACACAAAAAAAGCCATTCAAATCTCAAATTTTGCCAAGGAGTTAAAATGATTTATATATATGAAGAGTAGAGCCTTTTTGAAAATCTCGCCGTGGGTCCATGTTCCGAGAAACTTTTCCAAAAATAGCCTTTGCAGGTTTGAGCCCAGAAGGCTACAAATTAAAAAAAAACAAGAAGCAATAGTTCAAATGAATAGTTTATTAGAGGATTTCAATGTGAACGTTTGACAGAAGGTTCAAAAAACGTAGGTTGAGTATTTTTTTTTTGCAAATTATTTAAAACAGTCATTGATGGTTGTAGGCGTTGAAGCGTCTCTTCGTCGGCTTTCAAAACCAGGAACAGGTGGAACTTGTCCACTGCTACTTTCATCATAGCCTCAGCAAAGTTCGTCGTCCCGACGCGAAGCGCGATACTTTGGGGAGGTGAACGTTACACCGTACGCCTAAAAGCTTGTTGCTTTTTACTTTTGTTGAGTTTTTTTTTGGTTACCCGATATCGGTTTTGTAAGGTTTTTGAAGGCCCTCCGAATGAGCTTGGCATGGTCCTCGTGTAACGAAGTCTCCGTTTCGTCTCGTGCAGCCTGCTCGACGTGCTTAGAAAAGTCGTCAACCAGAGCTGTTGCTAAGAGTTCTTAGGGGGGCTAGAACCGTCGGCGTGGTTGTAGCTGAGTGGAGACACAATATCAGCCTAACGAAAATTAAAAAACAGACGAAAAACTACAAGAACCTAACCAATAAAAAAATAACCTTTGCAGGTTTGAGCCTTGAAGGCAACAAAAACAAAAACAAAACACATACAGACATAAATGTTTTATTGGGCTTTTTTGATACACACGTTTCGGCGAAGGTTGGGAGGAAGAAGAGGAGAGTTGCCTTTTTTGGCAGGGGATTCGGCCAGTGATCTAATTTTTGAGATGTAATTTTCCGTGGTTAGAGGTTGTAAGTGGCGGTTTTTCAAAACTTCATAGACTTTTTGCCAACATTTAGAGGTTGTTAGTAGGTGGATTACTGGTATTTGGGCTTTGGAGGCCAGTGTCTTTACGGTCTCCGGGGTGGCTGTTTTGTCATAGACAAAGAGGGCTTGGAATTTGTCGGGGATTTCTGTGGCAAGAGCGTCGATGTACGGTGTTGTGCCTATCGCTACAATGTCGAAGGATGTTGAGAATTCATCCCTTTCTGGGATGTCCTCCCTCATTAGGCGGTAGAGGTTTGTGATGCTTGTGATGGCTGGTAGTTGTACATTAGAATAGATCTAAAACTCTTTTTGGGATTGAAATATGGAAAGGTAAGTACTTTAGTGATCTTTCGAGCTGGGCAACTGAGGGTGAGTTCATATCTCGAACTCCGAGATCCAATCGTCTGCTCCAGGCCCTTTTCCAAGTTGAGAAGAGAGTACTCTCCAGCGAGATTGCTCTCAAGATCCTTAGCCATGTCTTTGATCGCAAGAGAATAGGCGGACGCCATCTAAAAACTGACTATAATTAGTGAGATTGCGTGGGGTCATAGCTCGGAAGCTTTACAAAAATGAGAAGTCTTTTTTTTTCATTATTGGGATCACCGAAAAAACCCCGCTAAGGCAGACTGTAGAGCAAATGTCAATAATTCTCTTGAACTTACTTCATTTTTATTTTAAAAATCATTTTTATTTCAAAAGTAGTAACTGCCAATTTTTGGGCAATGCTTTTTTTACAGAATGACACTAATTTATTTTTCCGCTGTAACTTGTAATACTTATTGTTTGAGCAGTACGAATATTTCATTTCATAAGTACTTTTTCTTGGGCGCGCCGTAGCGCACCAGGTTGTGTGCCTGTCTACGATCCACAGGGTCACAAGTTCGATCCCCGCCCCGACCCAACCAAGGGGTTTAAGAAATGTTGGTAGTGGGAAACCACGACTTCAAAATCCCCAGCCGTCACACACAATGACGGATATGTCTCTGGAGCCAGTCCACTGATTATCATCAGGATAGGACATCGGCTAATCGACTTGGGGCGCCGACGCCGCTCAAGCGGTACAAAGGCGTAAGAAGAAAAAGAACGCTTATTTATCAGAGCCTGAAGTATTGTAGCGGTACTTCTTTCTTTTTTTTTTGATCACTTCTTTTTGAACGACATCAGATGACGTCATTGATAGGAATTGGTCATCATTCTAGCTCAAATGTCAATGAATCTTTGACCCGAATTATTTGGGTGGTAATTTTTCGAATAATATCCAACCATTGCCAAGTCTTCGACCCTCCTTTTACCTGAATGACGCTAATTTAACGAATATCTTTCGCTCCCTTTCAAAACTCTCAATAACTTGAATCTGAAGTCCTGAAGCAGTACTTCTTTTTTTTTTTTGTTCCCTTCTTTGTGACCCCCCTGGGGGTCTGGGCCGTGCCCTGCAGCAGTGCAACGCTGGGACGACCCTTGAGCGGTCGGAGCAAGCTCCGGATCCACTCTCGGTTGCAAAAATAAGTTAACCTATATTGTACTCATTCGAGCACATACCGTAGGTTAATACGATAAGAACAGATACTACACTTTGATCTTAGCCAATAGGCCGAGAAGCGATGCTGAACGAAGGAAACGACTCCTTCTTACGTTGCTGCGTGTCCCGACGCCAACCGACTCGCTCGTTTTGGCGAGAACGGCGATTTTGAGATGAGGGTGAGGCGAGCAGACGGCGGCGTTCCGTTCACTTTCCTCCCTCATTTTTTAAAGTAAAAAAATGATTTTCTATCGCTGTTTCTTTTTGTATATTTGTTTCTTATTATTGTTCAAAGTTTCAAAATGTTTAAAATTTTCATTTTTGCATAATATTGTATTTTTCGAGAATTTCAGGCCTTTTTTACTTTAAATTGGAGGTTTTTCAGGAGTTTTTTTTTCTCATTTCTGATTGGTTCCTTTAAAAGCTTCAAAGATTCAATAATATTTTTTTATTATGAAATTTTAATTTGTGGAACTAAGCGGGAAGTTTGAATTTCTTCTAAAAAAATATCAAGTTTTTTTCAGAAATGATTTTTTTATGATGGTAAAACAATCTTTCCATTATCAGAGGAAGCGAGATACTTCAAATTTACAAATTTTTTTGAAATTATATGACTTGAAAATAGAAAAAAATGAGTGAAAAATAATACTCACAAATTTCCAACTGAGTGTAGAGGACGACATCGCAAAAAAATAAGATCTTCTTGTCCCATGGAAATAAGTTGTCTCTTGTTTTTTTAAATACCTGAAATTATAAATATTAGAAAGGAAGCAGTTCGAAAAAAACAAGACGAAGGGAATAAGTTTCTCGGAAAAAAAAAATTAAAAATTTAAACATCGGTTCCTAATGTGATTTTCTTTTGACAAAAATATATATAGAAAAAAATAGTATTTATAAAAGATCTTTAAGATAATAAAAAAAGAGTGATAAAAAAATACACTAAAAAGTGGAAGAGAAAATGCGCCCCTGGACAGTTTAGAATTGGCGCGCTCGCGAAGCTTTTTCAAAAAAAAAAAGTCAATTTTTCATAAAACTTTTTATTTTTAAAGGATAATTATTGTGTATGTTTCGTATTCCTGTCAAAACTTCAATGAGATCTCATTTTTTTGAATTTTTGGTGTTTGTTTTGTCATTTTGATTGTTTTAAACTATTTTTAAGCATATTTCATTGAAAGAAAGATTCCCTTAAATTTTACGCTGAACTATTTTTTTCATTCTTTTTCTTATAATTTTTCTTCCTGATGAATTTGTCAAACTAAACCTAATATTTTTATTAAAATAAATTGACCTTCATGTAGTGGAGCTTTTTGTGAACTATATAACTCAAAAACTACCGATTCGCAGGATTATTACTCGTTCATTTTTGTGATTTACGAGACCCTTCGAACTCGTCAAAAAAGATCGTTTTCTGCAGGAATTGCGCCCATTTTTGGGATGGAAAAGGGCAGTTGAACACGTTTCCGACACCTGGCCGACCATTTCCCATTAACATTCGTGGCGACAAGTGGCCCAAGGAAAAATTGGCGTTTCGAAGAAACAAAAAAAGAGAGAACGAACGTCTTTTGGAAAACAAACATGGGGGTTTTTCTCAAAAAAATAGTTTTCGAAGCTAGAAAAAAAGAAAAAGTTTATAAAAAAATTCTAAGGACTAATCTCAAAGGAAGTTCTTTTTGAAATATATTTAGCTTGTAAAAAAATAATTCTGAACAGGCTGAGGGGTTGAACTTTTTGAAAATACATCTCGAAAACGTTCAATTTCAAAAAAATGGCCTGAAAATCCGGAAAAATTTGGTTTTTCCAAGTTTTGTGCAAAAAGTCGAGAATTCTTTTTTTTTTTTTTTTCAAAAAATCACTTGAAGTTTAAAGTTTTTGAATCGTTACACAAGTGCTTTTTAAAGAAATATAACAATAAAAAAATAAAATTACAAAATGTATTATATAAAAATTCATTTTTAAATTATCTCTGAACAATCTAATGATGGATAAGTATAATTTCATACCTCTGAAATCAAAATCTTCAAGAGGCAAATAAAAAAGAAATTCAAAAGCTGTCAAAAAGGAACATGTGGAGTGAAGTCAACATCTGGACGGGTTGACAAATTTTGATGACTTTTCGCCTCACTTTATCGATGTTTTCAGCTTCCCGGGAAGCTTCTATTCGTTTTTATTTCAAGAAAACGGCTTTTTGAATTTATTTTTTTCAAGGTTTATTAATAAACTCGGGCAAAGTCGGAATGGTGGATAATGGCCGCTATAAGGAGAGGCTCAAAAAAGGTTGCAAAAAGGCAGCAAAATGAGTCTCTTTATCGAGCCTACCATTTTCTCTGAAATTTTGAAGGCTCAAGAAATGGAGGAAAAAGAGAAAGGCAACAAAAATGGTGCAAAACGGCCGATGGAATGGCCCAAAAAGGCAGCAAAAAGGAACATTTCTATGGAGCCTTTTTCCACTCTTTCCGACCTTGCATATGTTCAAACAGCTCGAGAAAATGCTCTGAAATTTTTTTTTAATATCAAAGAATCAATTTTTTCAGCTTCACGCACATGTTACCTCATGGAAAATAAAAAAAAAACATTTGAAATCCAAAGTTCAAATCACTTTTATTTAGAGAGCTTGTGAAATTCAGGAAATTTTGGTGCCAAGAAAAGAAATAAATCAACAGATTTTATTTACTTTTTCCGGGTTTTTAAGATTCAAAAAGTGATTTTCTTCAAGGAAATGCGTATTTTCTTGTTTTTGAAGCTTTATAACTTAGATTTTTCCTTTTTTGGGATCATAAAGCTTTAAATTACATTACAGGCAAGTTTCCAAGGTTTTGGTGTCAAGAAAAAATTCAGAAGAATGAAAAAAAAACGGAGATTTGAGTGTCCCTCGAGACTTTGAGACGGGCCTCGAACCCAATTTATAACAATGAGCCAGTGAATGCTGGACAATATTTGGCGGAGCCGAGAATCGTTCGAAATGATGAGCGACGTCCCCGAGGGACTCATGTCGAGATGCTCGGTGTCGACGCGACGTCTTCTGATTGATGGCCGACGTCTTCTCCCGGCTTTAGCTTTCTATTATCTTCCGCCAATCGACTCGGATAGGGACCATTTATTTTCATGATAATAATTACATAGGCAAAGTCGGAAAGGGTAAAAAAATTCTTCATAGAAATGTTCCGTTAGGGTGACAAAAGGGTTCCTTTTTTGGTACCGTTTTGCGCCATTTTGGCTGTCTTTTTGCGCCTTTTCATCAGCTATTATGCACCAATTTTGCTGCCTCTGTCTTTTTCCACCATTTCTTGAGCTTTTAAAATCCCAGAAAAAATGGGAGGCTCCAAAAACGGATTCTTTTTGCTGCCTTTTTGCTGCTTTTCTGCGGCCTTTTTTGAGCCTCTTCCCGGCCATTAACCACTTTTCCGACTCTGTCCGAGTACAGATTGAAAAATGTACCAAAAATAAGTTTCTTTAGTGAATATTTCTATTAGCTTCCGACAATCGACTTGGATAGGGATCATCAATTTTTAAAATCCTTCATTAAAATTTGAAGAAAAATATTTTATGATGATAGGTGAAGTCAAAAAAAAGGCAGGTGCTATCAAACCAACACCTTCGATTAAGTTTTTTTTTTCGATTCTTAAAAGGAAAATCTTTATGCCATTTGGGAGGTCGAAAAAAAGAAAAGAATGAGAGGACAAAGGAGGGGCAACCGTCGACGTTACCATGCTTTTTTCTGAACAAACCGCATAACCCATCATGTCTTGTCAGCCGAACGAGATCCGAGGAAATCTATAGACGATTCACGGCTAGCTTGGGACGCAAAAAGGCGTGGCCTGTCTGCACTCTCCACCAACCAGGGCACTGCCTCGTCTTTTTTCGTGGCGGGACCCTTTTCTCAATGGCTCAAGCCAGCCGTGAGTCAGCTATACCAGATGATCCAATATTGTGTTACCCCTTCTTCTGACTTCAAAAAAAAGAACACTGATTTTGAAAAAAATTTACTTTTTACCAAGTTAACGAATTGACAAAAATTTTACAACAGAAACGAAAAAATTCCTTGTTAGAAAGGGTTCTCAGTTTTAGAATTTCTTTAGCTTAGTCCTTCCAATTTGGAATCGACTCTGCTCTAGATATGACCTCAACATTTTGCCGACTAGCTTTAGAAAGATCCTCGACTCGCTCGACAGCAGCGAATTGTTCACGAACGTGCCGGCCAGACTCCTTTAGGAAATTTCTTTACTTTTCTAAATTTACGTGTATAATCAGTCTCGGTATCTGCTTGGGGTGCTGAAAATTCAGGTTTTATTCATTTCCATTCATCTCGCTCCTTGTGTCCATCACTTGTCTCCTGATTTTTTTGATATTTTTGTAAATGAAATAAATTTTTATTAATAAGGAGGCGCAACCGTCGACGTAATCATGCTTTTTTCTGAACAAACTGCATAATCAATCCAGTCTTGTCAGCCGAACAAGATCCGATGAGATGATCCAATGTTGTGTTATCCCTTCTTCTGACTTCAAAAAACAACAACACTGATTTTGAAAAAAATTTACTTTTTACCAAGTTAACAAATTGACAAAAATTTTACAACAGAATCGAAAAAATTCCTTGTTAGAAAGGGTCCTTCGGGTCTTCTGATACACCGTCATGATATCGTTCCAGTGGTGACGGGCAGATACTCTCTGGGAACTGCGATGAGGAAGTCTTCCAGCCTGCCACGCGCAGTGAAGACCATGGGCTCCTCCGGAAACAGCGGCTGCATTTCAACCGGCAGTGCCGCATCTCCTGGGAGAGGATATACCCGCCACCGACGCTCGCTATCGGCAGCAGGTAATCGAAAATTGAAACCGGTTTACAACGACTGGTACTTCGGTATCCCATAGTGCCGTCCCGGTTGCTCTAAAATTTAAACTATAGAAAAATCTTTTTTTGTTTTTCACCGTTCATAGATTCTCTCAATCGGGATGCCGGCGATCACCGAGTTCAGGAAAGCATGCGCTTCCGTACAAAACACCAGCTCGAACTGCGTTGCCCAGTCTACATTGGCGAGGAACACCTCGATGAGATGCCGAACCACGCATCCTTAAAACTTTTCAATTTTTGGAAATCATCAAAGTGTCGATAAAACCTGTAGGTACTTCCGACTGGAAATTCCGTTAGAAAGTTGAATTTTAATTTTAAATAAAGATCGAAAGTTTGGTGGGATAATTGGAATCCTGGGAGTGACAGCCAATAAAAAGGCGTCCCAAAGCACCAGGTTTTGAAGACTCTGAAAAGTTTATATTTTAAGAAAAACTTGAAAAGGATTACCTTATAAAAAAAAAGACAAAAAAGAATAACGCGTCGAGCTCAAGAACTCTGAATAGTCAAAATATTATAAAAATAAATTATTTTTCGAAAAAACCTTCCAATGGCAAGGTCGAGAATTTCGTAGACACGAAGATTCAAAAGAAGAAAAATCGGAGAACCTGGGAGCGACACCCAAAAAGGGGTCCCAAGGCACCAGGCTTTGAAGGCTCTGAAAAAAAATGTCTATAAGCGTTTTGAATTACAAGAATTACCTGATGGAAAAACCTCAAAATAAAAAAAAAGCGTCGATCTTGTGCTTCTTCAAGTTGAGGAGCTGGAGGAGCTCCTCCAGCTACTTCTCTGATGGCTTGGCATCGGTAGAAGTCCTTAACGAAAATAATGTGAAAAAAGAAAGGTTCGAGCAAAAGCTTAGCTTGAAATAAATATCAAAACTAAACAAATAATAGTCAAAATCAACAGGAAGATTTTTGATGTAGCAAGTATAGTCGATGTGCCACAAGTTGAAATTTCATGGAACGACACTCCGCTGTTTCGATTTGTGCGGTAAAGCGCATCGTGCGAATTTGCCAACCTCGGCCACGCTAATTTTTTTGGTTTTAATTATAATTTTGATCGTTTTTTAATTGTTTTATTTCTTTAAAATGTACTATTATTGTTGAAAAAGTGTATTTTGTGTATTTGAAAACGGCAAGTTATGAAATGGGAAAGCGTGACCGAAATCCGCAAAGGCATTACAATACAATATTTATTGGTTGTTTTAGTCAGATGGTATCGACTAGGCGGTGAAAAAATTGCTCTTTTGAGCGGCACTAACACCGCCTTTGGCGAAAAAGAAGTCAAAACGTGTAGTCGATTGAATTGAAAGCATGATCTTACGGTCCTTCGCCTCGTTCTTCCACAAGTTGATCCCTCAGTTTCGCGGGTACGGGCACGGCGATGATGGTGGGGCTCGGGCACGGACTCCGTGTACACTCTAGGGTAGCCTCGGCCGACTGAGAGAGCTACCACTTCGAGTGAAGAAAATACACGGAATGAAGAAAATACACGGAATGATTCTTCACGGCCACAAGGCCACCGAGCGGAGTGTCGTTCCATGAAATTTCAACTTGTGGCACATCGACTATAGAGATTCTGAAAGTTTCAACCTTTGAAAATGCCCCTTTTTAATGGTTTTCTTTGAATCGAAGAGGTTTTTTCTTGAAAGTTAGAAAGTTTTGCGGTTGAGACTTTCAGGAATGTTATCTGGTATATCAAGAAATATTCTGGCCAATTTTCAGAGATTTTCAAGCTGTCAAGTAAAGAAGTAAGAACCTAGTAAGAAAGTAAGAAAGAAAAAAAAGCAGAAAAAAAAGGAGGAGAAGAAGAAGAAGAAGAAGAACCACTCCGAAGAGCGGAGCAGGAGCAACTGGCGTCCTTTCAGGGGCGTGGTATTGGGATCTGTGCCGAACATCAAATTGGTCCCTGTGGCGTCGGAACGAGCATGGCTCTTCGAAAGGTGATAATGGTACCTTTAATGACCGCGGTAAGATCTTTTCGAATACCTCATTAGAAGTAGGCTACCAGAGATAAAAAGGATTTCCCGCCATTTTTCTTAAACTCTTTATTATTCAATTATTCTCGACTTTTTGGTTGAAAAAATTCAGAAAAGGGAGGGCAAACTAGAAGTGAAAAGAAAGTTTTTTAGGTTCAGGAAAATCGTTGACACCTCGGGGCTCTAGGCCTAGGATTATTTACTCATTTTGGCACCTTTAGAGTAATATTATTTACTGAAGTTTTCAACTTTCGAAAGTTGTAAATGGACATTTTTTGTATAGAAATAACAAATAGTCGATTTTTCAATTAGCTCCGTAGCTCAGAAAAAAAGTGTATTCTCAGAATTTTATCAACCTTCAAAAATAAATTAATCCAAAAACTGTCTTTTGGCGTTTGTGCCCGTTTTTCTCATTTTTGAAATGAACTTTTTAAGTTTCAAGTGAACAAAAATGACCCAAAACAAGGAAAAATCGATATTTCGGAAACCCTATGGGTTCTTGGAGGTACCAGATGGTTCTATATGAAAAAAGACTTTCTGAACCTGATAAAAAACTTTACTTTTCCTGATTCCGAACAGTTTGAGCCGAGATATGAATTTTTGTAGCTGTAGATGACAAAGTTGACCAAAGTCGATATTTCGAGAAACCCTATGAGTCCTTGAGGATACCAGATGGTTCTACATGAAAGAGGACTTTCTGAAACCTATAAAAAATTTACTTCACCCGATTCTGTACATTTTCAGCCTAGATATGAACTTCTGAAGTTTATGTTTTCTGAATTGGCTATCAAACAAAAAATTCCAATTTTCCAACCAAAGAAGTTCGAGAATCTTTCGTTCCTAATATTTCATTAAACATGGAGGAAAAAATTTCATACTCACGAAAACAGCTACTTTTAGTTCAAAAATTTTCAGAACGATCCGTTTTTTTACTTTTGACTCTCAGAAACTGTAAAAGTTAAAAAAAAACCGGTTGTTGGCTTCCAGGTGAAAAATATGACACCTGCTAATTTTTTTATAAATTTAATTTTTTTGTTTGTGAAATTTTTTTATTCAGTACTTGCAGTCCCTTAGACATGGGAAAAGTTCGAAAAAAGCAAAAAAGCTCAAAATTCAAAAAGTGGTATATTTATTGACCTTTAGGTATATGTATGATACCTTCATGTTAGTTTTTTTCGATTTTTTTTTTTTTGAGTTTTCTTTTTGTCAAAGTCTCGGGGAAGGGCCTTCATTTCATTTTTGGAATGGTTTATCTATAAGATAACAGCGGTTCTATTTGTTCTACAGTAATTTTATGGAAGTAATGGAAAAATATTATATTCTAATCGTTCAATATGTAGATTATCTACTGAGTTTTTCATTTTTTTGTTGTAAAGTTTATTTTTTTATAGTCCGACATAATTGATAGCACATGAAATAATTACTTTTAATGATGATATATCCTATTGCTATCAATATTACTATTTGTTAGCTGAGAGGCTAATTCAAAGGCGCTTCATTTGAGTTGTTCAGTGGTTTGAGATTTAGAATGCTTTTTGTGCGTTTATCTGCGAGCTTTGATTTATTAATAGTTTATTAGTCAAGTGGCAAATTATAGTAAATATAAGAGGGAGAAGAATTGAAAAATGGCTTGTGAAGAGGGTGTGTTTTTCCACGGAAACAGAAGCAAGATAATGTCTATTTTCTATTGGCGGGCCGTGATATTGCATGCTGTTGCGAAGTGCTGGCTATTACAGAATCTAAAGCAATTCCTGCTCTTGTCTGTAGTCGAAACGACTGCGCTTGCGGAGTCGGGCTACTTCTTCAATCATTTCGATGGTTCGCACCGTTTCGGTGCCGATTGGGGCTGTTCTGTGAAAGAATTTTATTTTTTTATGCGCGAATCTTTATTTTTCACAAGCTCTTCTGTTCCAAAAAATTTCATTTTACTTTAAACAACGTAGAAAATGGACAAAAACATGCTCCTAGCTCATAACTAGTGTTCTTACTACTTCAGGGGGCAAATCTAATCCGAACCTCGTCCGTGACGAAAATTTTTCCTTCGCCGTTATAGGCTACAGGATTTTAGGGGAGAAGGGTGCTAAGGCCGAATTTAAAGGCTAAATAATTCAGAAGGGTGGTCTGACCCCCCGAAAAGTGGATCAAATCGTTGGAGGCGTTGACGCTTTCTTCACTCAATTTTATTTCTTTAATAGTTTCTGCCGTTATTCCGGAGAATTTTAGATTTTTTATGAACTTGTTAGCCAAAGATGGTGACTCCTTCGGCTTCGAGACTTAAACGCCGTTCAGCCCCAGGACTTCTGCGAGCGTCATTTCGACTTCGTTGGCAGGTGCTCGGGGTGGGAGATCTTTCGGGAGAGTCTTTCCGGCGGCGGCGCGGACTTGAGTCATGTTCTCAAGTGTTTTTTGAACTTGCGGGGATTGGACTTAATGGGATTCAGTATATGTCTATATATATTTATTTATATTCGTTTCTAAATTTCTATGATTGAAGTTCTTTTTCATTTTCTTATAGGACTGCGCACTTGATTATGCACGGCAGTATAATTTTGAAGCCTATGATTACTATGGTCCCTATTGATGTGGGTAGATTTTTAAGAATTATCTATGTGTGAAAAATCTTGAAAAATGCTTGAGGGTTGCATGTTTGGTGGGACAGATCCTTGATTAGCCCCTTTTTTCTTTTTTCGTGGGATGTATGCTAATGTCCCTCAGAAATCTATATTTATTTTTTTCCGCTCGCATTTTACAGTACAGTATTGTTCTTGTGCAACTGCACGTTTCTATGTATTCGCACTTATTTTCTGTGTCGCAAATTAAAGGGAATTTCTCATGAAAATGCGGCATCGTCGCAATTTTTTGTGTTTTTTGTGAAAACCTAAAATTTGCTATTTGTGCTGGAATCGTATTGTCAATCGAAAGTATGGAAATTTTAGCTCTAAAATCTTCCTTTCCTATGGTCTCTATTTCTCCTTCTCGGATTTTCAGTTCAAATGTGTTTTGCTGTGAGTTGTGCCTTTCCAGGCCATTGTGCGCATTTGTAGGGCCTAAAATTTTCGTCTGATGTTGGTTTCGCATACGTTCTATAAAGTAGACATGCTGAAGTTAATGATAGGCAATCGCAGAACCAACCACCTTGCTTGCGCAATAAGATTTTCCTAGATAGGTTTTGCTTCTGTTTGCTTCTTTAAGTTCGTTTATGATGGCCTCAGGTGCAAAAACGTCGCATTTGGTTCCTCTGCAGAGGCTATTTCCTCCATAGCGCATAACTGATTCTACGTTTAAGAATACATTTTTCGTGTTTATTACCGTACTTATGATGCATTCATGGATAGTTTTCTCTACTTTGATCCTATATTTCGCAACTACTGTTGGTGGTTATATCTATGCATATTTCATTGGGTAATGGAGTTACGAAAATTTCTTGGTCCGTTTTTAGGCAACATCTGTCATTTTCGCAACTTTTTCCGTTATGCGTGATAGGTATAGTAATGTCACAGCCTCGGGCCGGGACTAGCAAAGTAAGTAAAGTCAATGAAATTTCCTTTTTTTGGAAAGAGCGTCTTTTTGTTCAAAGTGTCACTTTTATTAATTACTTGAGCTGCTTCGTCGGTAATCAACTTTGGGAATTTCGTAAGATTTCGGGAGGGGTTAATATTTAGATCTAGGAGAGTTGAAACCCTAACGCCCCCCGCGTGTGGGAGGGGCGTGGGGGGAAGAGAATCAAACGCGGGGGGGGCGAGCCTGCATCTAGAAATGTACCGCTCAAAAAGTCTATTAAGTTTTGGTTTTTTTGAGCATATCTCAGCGAGTACTTATCCGATTTATATATAACTTTCAGGGATAATGTAAAAATATACTTTGTAACATATACGGTATACAAAGACACGTCCGCAATCACTGTGTCGCGTTTTAGGCATTTTTTTATTGAATTCAATTTTTTTTGTTTTTTTATGCTTTTTATTTTTTTATTTATTTTTTTATTAAATTTTTTTAAAAAGTAATGATGTTGCCATATGTTTTTTCATGTTTTTCAGACATGGGAAGAACCTCTGGAAAAAAGGATTTGACTGATAACTACAAAAGAGCCATCGTTGTGGGTCGTCAATATGGACTGACCATGACGACGTTGGCAGGAATGTTCGGCGTGACAGAGGCGTGCATTTCTCAGTTCCTAAAGCGTCAGAAAGCTCAAGATGGCTCTACTAACAGCCAACGCACTGGAAGACCACGTGTCACTGATCGTAATGACGATAGGAACATTTTGAAGACGTCTAGAACCAATCCAAGACTCACCGCCCCTGCGATCAGACGGGAAGTTTTCTTGATTTCGCCATCTCCGCCATCCGTCTCGACCGTGAAACGACGTCTGAATGCTGCTGGAATCATGGGAAGACGTCCAGTGAAGAAACCGCTGATTTCTGAAAAGAATCGAGCCTCCAGGGTGAAGTGGGCGAAGGAGCATCTCAACTGGACCCGTCAAGGCTGGAACAAGATTCTGTGGTCCGACGAAAACAAGTTCCTCCTCTTCGGGAGTGACGGAATTCAGTGGGTTTGTAGACCAATTGGGTCCAGATATCATCCGAAATACCAATTACCCCCTGTGAAACTTGGTGGAGGACCGTTTCGTCGGACCACAGAATCTTGTTCCAGTCTTGACGGGTCCAGTTGAGATGCTCCTTCGCCCACTTCACCCTGGCGGCTCGATTCTTTTCAGAAATCAGCGGTTTCTTCACTGGACGTCTTCCCATGATTCCAGCAGCATTCAGACGTCGTTTCACGGTCGAGACGGATGGCGGAGATCGCGAGTTCAAGAAAACTTCCTGCCTGATCGCAGGGGCGGTGAGTCTTGGATTGGTTCTGGACGTCTTCAAAATGTTTCTATCGCCATTACGATCACTGACACGTTGTTTTCCAGTGCGTTGGCTCTTAGTAGAGCCATCTCGAGCTTTCCAACGCTTTAGGAACTGAGAAATGCACGCCTCTGTCACGCCGAACATTCCTGCCAACGTCATCATGGTCAGTCCATTTTGACGACCCACAACGATGGCTCTTTTGTCGTTATCAGTCAAATTCTTTTTTCGCGAGGTTCTTCTCATGTCTGAAAACATGAAAAAAAACATATGGCAACAATATTACTTTTTTAAAAAAATTTAATAAAAAAATAAATAAAAAAATGAAAGCATAAAAAAACAAAAAAATTGAAATCAATAAAAAAATGCCTAAAAACGCGTCACAGTGATTGCGGACATGTCTTTGTATACCGTATATGTTTCAAAGTGTATTTTACATAATCCCTGAAAGTTATATATAAATCAGATAAGTACTCGCTGAGATATGCTCAAAAAACCAAAACTTAATAGACTTTTGAGCGGTACTGTAGGCGTTTCAGAATCGGCCACCGTTTTGTATTGCATATTTGTATAAAAGGATTGCTTCTCGCGATCCGCGATATATTATTTGGTTGCCCATAACTTTTTCCGGTTACCACATGGAAGGCTTCCCGTATCATTCAAGGTGCTCATTTATATGGATAAGGACTTGCTCGTCATGCGGTAGAATCCGGCGAGCTGGAGGGTTTCTGCTAACGTTGGTGACTTGCGCGAGCCTCAAGGTTTCAGGGAAGGGCCTTCCCTGCTGCTTCCGTTTTGGAATGGTTCATCTATAAGACATCTATTGAGCTCTTTTTTTGTTGTAAAGTTTATTCTTATAGTGCGACGCACTTGATAGCCCATGGAATAATTACTTTAATGTTGATATATCCTATTGCTTGTGGCGTCCCACAGACTCGTGGGGGTTTTGGTGGTTCAATGGTTTCATTGGGCGCTCCTGCTAGCTTTCGCTTTTGATGCTACAAGTAAGAAGGATGGTTATATATATGTTTATTCTACGAGTGCAAATGGTATAGGGTAAAAAAAATAGGGTAAAAAGGGGGAAAGTATTGGAGAAGGCGAGAGGAAGTGCTTCCGGCCAGTTGTTCGGCGGTGTGGGTGGCGTGCAGTTGCTCGAGTGATCCATCAGAAGACCTCAGCTGTCCTGCTCTCGTGGGCTGCGTCCGCGATATTCGGGGCGGCGGCGAGAAGTGCGTCGTCGCTCCTTAAGTTGATTTAAATTCTAGCCAAGTGTTGTTGGCTATAGTCTGTTCAGACTTTGAATGTCAACTAGCTAACTCTACCCCTGCTGGGACGGTCCCTTTTCGCGTCGATGTTTTATCACGAGGGACGATTTTTGATTTTTTTTTTTTCGATCCAAAAGATAGAGTAGTCGACAACGATGAAGAAGATGATTCCTCTGATTTGAGCAGATTGGGCACAAGTTCATTCGAAAAATGATTTTGATCTTCTGACGTCGGTCACTAGTATTGCACTTGTTGCTGAAGTGGTTTCAGTTGCAGAACATGCAAGAGATGGTTCTAGGAACTTCTTTTTCTATTGCGTTTTAGTTGGTTGATTGTTTTAATCAACGCAATGGCGTCATCTAAACTTCCCTGAATGATTATCATGTTTCCTGTAGCGGGATAGAGATATGAACCGAGGTTTTTAAACCTTGTATACGATAGTTTTTTATGAATTGTCAACAATTTATTTGAACAGGAAGCAAGGGTACAGATATGAACAAATTAAAAAAACTTGACAATTGAAAAAATCTTTTGTCCTATTTATGTTGGTATGTTTTTGGGTTGAGGATAATATTAATTTGGTCAATGCAATAGAGATTGTTCTTCGAATCTATAAGGAGTGGACTGTTTGGATGCCGTGTCTTGAAGTTTTCGGTCTCTTGTACGTGTTCCTGGGAACTAATTCGGGTGGATCCGTTCGGTACGAGTCTGTTGTCTGGCGTCATGCCTTCGACGCTGAGGCAGCATTTTCCGACGTGCGCTCCTGTTGTGATCACGTTGTAGTATCCCAAGACTCTTTCGGTGCTGATACATGTGTTCGCCATCTCTGCTTCGGTTCTATTCATATTATGGAGGCGATGCGACCGGAGCAGGAGGAAATCCGCTATGGTGATTGTGAACTAGTGTTTTGAATATTTCCCAAATGGTATATTTTTTTTTCTTAATATTTTTATGGAGCAAAGCTGATACGGACTTCGTCCGTTGCAAAAAGTACTATAAACGACGGATGACTTAGAATGTAGGGTTGCGAAACATGTTTAAGGGCCAGGAAGTTTTGAAGGGTGGTCTGACCCCCCGAAAAGGAGATCAAAAGGTTGGAGGCGTTGATGCCTTCTTCGCTTAATTTTATTTCTTTAATTGTTTTTCCCGTTAGTCCGGAGAACGCCGCTGTTTATTTTAGACTTTTTTAGAACTTGTTGGCCAAAAATAGTGACTCCTGCGGTCTCGAGACCAGGACGCCGCTCAGCCCCAGGACTTCTGCGAGCGTCATTTCGATTACGTTGGCTGTGCTCGGGGCGGAGTGTTCATCTGGAGTATTCGCCAGCGGTAAAGAAGATGATGTCGTTGAGGTAAATAATAGGAGATATGTTCATGCGAAAATGATGTTGATCTTCTGGAGCCAACCGCTGTTAGTACACTTCTGGGTGTAGTGGTTACCGTTGCAGAATATGCAGAAGATGGCTTAAAATTAAAAGAGAGAAAATCGAATTTGAAGGCCTCGGGCAAAAATTGCTCTTTTTCCGGTAGAAAAAAGCTAGCTTTGAAGAAAATCTTCTTACAAGCTTACCAAGGGAAAAATAAAGAAAAAGGAAACTATTTACAAAACCCAAGCCGTTGTGACAAAAATAATCACGAACGGACATTTTTTCTTCTTCTATGGAAAAGGGATAGACTTTTGAATGTTCCTTGAAAGCTTTTCAAAATTTTACTGTTTTATTTTTCTTGTTTAATAAATATTTAAAGTTTTTTTTATTTTTTCACTCATTTAGAGATCTGTAAAGTTTGGAAATACGAAAGTAGAGCGATCTTTTAACTAACGTTTAGGTATATGATACCTTTAATTTAATTTTTTTTTGTTGAGAATTTAGAAAATGACTTATTTGAGGAATTTGAGATTCTTTTGAACATACTGTAATATTTTTTTCATAATTTGGTGATGAATGGCAGAACGGAATTGTTAACTTGCTCGATGCAATAAGTTTAGTTTTATGAGTCGACAAGAAGCGGACTAACGGGACATTGGGTACCAACTCCTTTTACGGTTTTTAGGTGGTCTTTAAAGAAGATGAAGGAGTTTTCATGGAATGATTTACTCGCATCTGTCTCACTCCCAGTATTTTCGTTTCCTGAACCGGTGTTTCTAAATTCGGCCACTGCTGTAATGACCGACTTTTTTTGAATCAGCTTATTTTTCAGGGGGGTTGAATCCGTATTTAAGCATTCGATGTGACGTCATCAGTTATAATGGTACTGTTGGGATTATTCAAAACTATGTTTAGGTTTTGAACAGTTCATTCTTATTTTTGGGGTGAAGGGTGCTAAAGCCATACTTAAGGGCTCAATAATTCTGAAGGGTGGTCTGACCCCCTGAAAAGTGGATCAAAAGGTTGGAGGCATTGATGCCTTCCTCGCTTAGTTTTATTTCTTTAATTGTTTCTCCGGTTATTCCGGAGAATGCTGCTATGTGTTTTAGACTTTTTAAGAACTTGTTGGCCAAAGATGGTGACTACTTCGGCCTCGAGATCTGTACGCCACTCAGTTTTATCTGCGAGCTTTGATTTATTAATAGTCTGTTAGTTAAGTGGCAAATTAAATATACGAGAAAAGAGGGGAGATGAAAGGAATAAAAGAAGGTGATTTTGTTGACCATATGGGACACAAGTTCTTGCGAAAATGATGTTGATCTTCTGACGCTGATCACTGTTATTGCACTTCTTGGTGTAGTGATTACCGTTGCAGAATTTTCAAGAGATGGAAGTGAGATTAAAAAAGCGAGAAAATCGAATTTGAAGGCCTCGGGCGAAAGTTGCTCTTTTTTCGGTTGAAAAAAGCTAGCTCTGAAGAAAATCTTCTCTCAAGCTTACCGAGGGAAAAATAAGAAAAGGAAACTATTTACAAGACCCAAGCCGTTGTGACAAAAATAATCACGAACGGACATTTTTTCTTCTTCTATGGAAAAGGGATAGACTTTTGCCGATGCATCGGACAATTTCAAGGTGTTCACTCAATTTTAATTGAAGAATAGATATTTAATAAATGATTTATTTTTCTGAAAGTTTCATCAAGTGTTGGATGAGCATACAGTTGTTTTTTTGGTTGTTTTTTTGGGTATGAAAAGGATTTTGACGGGTTCTTACTTTTTTTCAAAAACACTTTGTGACGGTCCACAGATTCATGGCTACACTGGTTAGTTCGCCCCAAGACTCGTGTGCCATTTTTCTTGTTTCTTATTGTTTTGTATCATAAAAAATGCGATATATTTTTTATCGTACCGATTGACGAATTGTGACGGTGCCTGCTAGTAATAATTCGATTTTTCATTTTTGGTTTTGAAAATTCTGGAAAGACTAAGAACGTAAGAGGTTCTTGAGGACGTTATAATAGAGATAATAAAAATAAGAAATTCACATTTAAAAACAATAAGATACGGTATACAGTAATAAAGTCTTTTTTTGGCTCTACCTTTGATGACATCTTTTCTGATTCCAAAATTTCCTTTTACCGAAATTTTTCCGTTTTTTCTTTGAGAGTATTCAAAAAGATGTTTGGGTCGTAAATAATTCATTCTTATTCTTCCCAGTCATTTTTACTGGGATCCATTCTAACGTTTTACTGAAACTTCAGGCTGGAAATTCATATATTTTTATATTTAGTTTTTGAAATGTTCATTAATCCCTTCCAATTTTTTTCATTGGACTTTTTCTTTCAAGCACTGCTAGCTATATAATTTATTAACCGAGGACTTTATCAAATTTTTTTTAAAAAGACATGTTGGATATAATTAAAATTGAAAAAAAGTCAAAATATTCCAATTTTATACATTTTTTTGATGCTCAAAAAAACGCTTTTAATTGAAAAATACCGGTAATAAATAATCAAAAGGAGTTCTCGGTATCAAATCAGCAAAATTAAAGTTTATAAAGAAGAAAAATTGAATTCTCGTGCAACAAATGCCCCCTTTTCCGTGGAAAGAAGTCAGCTTTAGGATAAAGCTGCCGAGAAAAAAAAAGAAAAATAGAAAATTATGTAAAAAGGTCCTAACCGTTGGGAAAAGCACGACCTGAATTTTTTTTTTCGTGTGTGGAAAAGGGCTAGATTTTGGAGATTCTTTTTGAGGATTTTTATTAGGATTTTTCGTGGTAGTAGATTTGCGTATTTCATACCCGCCTATTTTATTTTTAAAAAGTAGTTTCTATATTTTTAGGACGTCCGGATGTTCAATAAAATACAATTCTCACCAATATTTTATAATTTTCAAGTAGTAGCAAGTTTCCTTTGGTGTAGGGGTTAAGAAAATCTGAAATTTATAAATTTTTTTTCGTTTGAACCGAGTTTTATTTTTGATTTTACAAAAAGTAACGATTGTTTTGATTTCGATTTCATAAATATGCTCTAATTCTTATAAAATATCAAAATATCAATCATTTTACTTTAGTTTAAGGGGTGTCAGTTAAAAAAATTTAGAAATTTTTTTATTTCAGTTATTTTTTTCAAGTGAACAGGTGATCAGGAACGATTTTTAATAAATCAAAATATTTAAAAAAACGAGTTGAAATTTGAAGCCTCGGGCAAATTCTTGCGCCTTTTTCTGAAAAAAAGCCAGCTTAAAAAATTTTCAAGCTTCCGAGGTGAAAAAAACTGTATAAATGGTCCTAGCCATTTTGAAAAGCTAAAATACGACCAGAAAATTTTCTTCTTCTATGGAAAAAAGGTTAGAATTTTGTAAACCTTGGAGGAATTTTTTATGATTTTACTCAATTTTAATTAAAGATAAGATATTTGATGACTAACTTTGATTTTTGTATAATCAAGGGAATACAATTTTTTCTAATTTTTGAAACCTTACAGGAGTTAAATGAGATTTTGGTGGTAACGTTTGTCAAGAAGAGAAGTGAAATATTAAAATTGGAATAATTTTGTCCTACTACGAAAAATGTTTTGTCGTTGGGATTGTTATAGTTTCGGTCTAGTCTATACAGTAAATATATAAAGGACTGTTTGGATATCGGGTAGAAAAATTATTGACTCAAATGATGTTTAAAATAATATAAATACAGTACCGAGGTAGCAAAACTACTTCCTGAGGACTTCAATTTGCCGAAAAAGTGAGGAATTTTGAAGGATTTTTTGAAGTTTGTCTTGATACTTGGTTCAAATATTCCCTCACTAGTTTAGATTTTATACAATAAAAAAATGAGAAAAAGTTGAACTTGAAGGCCTCGGGCGAAATTGCTCTTTTTCCAATGGAAAACGCCAGCTTAAAAAAATTTTTTTCAAGCTTCCGAGGTAAAAAAAGCTGTATAAATGGTCCTAGCTGTTGTAAAAAGCTAAAATACGACCAGAAAAATTTATTTCTTTTTATGGAAAAAAAGGCTAGATTTTTTTGGAACAATTCTCCATTTTCTTTATTTATTTTTCATTTTGAAGGCTAGATTTTTTTCGAATAATTTTTTTGTCATATTTAGACTATTTAATAATTTCAGATAGGAATTCCGTTTTTTCAGATGTTTTAATAAAATGGTTAAAGAAGGGCTCTGCGCACCATATACAAAAGTTTTTTACTGATTAATTTTTCTCCAAGTGGAAAATATTTTTTTTAAAGTTTTGTCTATTTTTTGATTTCAAACAAGGTCGCTCATGCTTAGACAATCTATGGCTTTGATTGAAAATATAAAAAATTGGGATAAATCGACCAGATATTTTCTACGGACTCATGGTTCTATACATTCGTTTCAGTGACAGCCTGAAAGAAGTGAAAATTTCCAATTAGTTGTATTTTTGACGATTTTTTGAACTAGTAGGATTTTTTTATCTCGCTCAGAAACATGGAAAACTTAAAATTCAGTTAAAAATATATAAAATTATGGTTTGAAAAAAATTTCGGCTGGAAAAAAATAAATAAAGAAAAAAAGATTTTTTTAAGATTAAAATGATTTTGGACTTGAAAAATTGATGATATGAAACTCAAAAAAACATTTTTAATAAAAAAATTAGAAACCTCGGGCAAAATTGCTCTTTTTTTCCAATGGAAATCGCCAGCTTGGAAAAAAATAATTTTTTTCAAGCTTCCGAGGTGAAAAAAAGCTGTATAAATGGTCCTAGCCGTTGTAAAAAAAGCTAAAATATGACCAGAAGTTTATTTCTTTTTATGGAAAAAAAGGCTAGTTTTTTTGAACGGTACGCAAGATTTTCGACTTATTTGAATTTTTTTAAAAAAATTTAAAGAACAAAAAAATTGAGCAATTTTTTTATAATTTTACGGTTTTTCGCAGTTTCAATTTTTTTATTCAAGCACATTTTTTTCTCCGATGTAACGGTTCAAAAAGCAAGAAATGGAACGCCAAATTTTTTTAAATTTTGCGAAATTTGTAAATTTCAAAAAGACTTCCGAGCTCAGTTTAAACTATTTTTTTTCAAATAAAAAAATATT